TACATCGTCAGTAAGCCAGGTTAGTTGTAAATTGTGTATACAGTGTTCGTCACAGTCGTTCATAGAAGAAGAAAAAGATTCAAGTGTAAAAAAACATTTAGAAATTTGAAGTGCTGAGAAATCACATAAACGCTAGAGCGAAAAATTGGTACACTTTGGGAAAGCATCGTCACCACTTGATCGTGCGTGATTCCCAAGTCACTCTGATCCAAATAGCCGCAGGTAATTGATAATTGCTAAAACGTTTAAATAGAAAAAATCGCTCAAGGAAGTGGAACCAAGGTGTTGAGGAGGCAGGGTACTTGGTTTCGTAAAATGGAGACTATCTCGCTGACTCCAGGCTTTAGATTCAGACCGGCTAGCCCCAAGCCATTGACGAGCTTGTCCACTGTTCCGAGGAGCTGCTTGGTTCCTTGGCTACTTAGGAGGTCGCCCAAGCCCTGCACAATGTTGTTGACTAGCTTTTTGACTTCGTTACCGGTCTGCGCCAGACCCAGCTTTTTGAGCAATGGAGTAAGCGCCGCCACTTGGTTGCGAGTGAGACCACATACACCTCGGCTATTGCCACTGCCGCCGCTGTTGCCATTGCCGCCACCGTTGTTGCCATTGCCGCCACCATTATTGCCGTTACCGTTATTGCCATTGCCGCCGGTGTTGCCATTGCCGTTGCCGTTGTTACCATCTCCGTTGCCATCTCCGTTACCATCTCCATCATCACCATTACCATTGCCGTTGTCATTACCGTTCCCGCTGCCATTTCCGTTCCCGTTGCCGTTCCCGTTGCCATTACCATTGCCGTGGCCATTACTATTACCGTTGCCGTGGCCACGGCCAGGGAAGCCGCCTGGAAAACCGCCTGGACCACCGGGGAACCCAACGCCACCAGGACCACCGGGGAATCCGACACCGCCTGGGCCTCCAGGGAATCCGACACCGCCTGGGCCTCCTGGAAACCCGACACCGCCTGGACCGCCTGGGAATCCGGGACCTACTGGAGGAACTGGAGCAACTGGTCTACCATATGGCGATATAGGGGCGATCGGCGCTGGTGGCAATGGTGGTAGAACATGCGGCGCGGGCGGAATATATGAATAAGGCACTGGAGGATATCCGGGGACAGCGGGCCATGGGGTGAGCTGGGGCAGCGCGTGCGAAAAGGAGAACAGCGCAAGAGTAGTGATAGCAACTGGGACCTTCATAATCAATATGTATGCGAGTGGCTGCTATAGTCGCCAAAAAATTAAACACGAAAAGTTGGAGAAAAGGTATAGAGATAGTCGCGAGGTATTGATAGGAGAAATGAGTAGATTATTTTGAAAGAGATGTTTGCCGCCGTTCTATGTGGTGGCGGGCGTGGTTTTATATGACTTTACATCGCAATTTTCTGGGGATCCGGCTGTCAGTCAAAGGCAAAAGCTGCATTGGAAATCAATGGCGCGAGTATCAAATAGGCAATGTTAGTTGAAGCGCGGGCTCGAAATATCCTACTGTTTCTCCAAGCAACATATAAGTGGCTTTTTTGCAAATGGTCTGATTGCACTCCGACAGTTACTCCCCCGCTATGGCAAATAACGGTAAAGCAGTAAATCTTGCTCATTAAAGCCGTAAACCGACGAAAGCAGTACCGAAGCAGTTTCTTATAGCGTCAAATAACTATCAGCCCGGTTAAGGACAGTAGATATTTTAATATCCGCATTAAATATACACAACTCGTACAAAAATGATAGTTGCAAGTGATGTTCACTAACCGTTGGTTTTTGGACGTCAAAAATACGAAAACAAACTCGACTAATATTTATCGTCGACTACGGTTACAGAGTCTAGTCGCTAGTATTCCCGATAATACTTTTAAACCGACATGCGTGTTTACGACAGTAATTCGTCCATCCCTAGATATTGGCTCTATGTCATTTATGTATCGCTAATTTATCAACAAGGAGCGCAAACGGTATATTAGAGGTAATCGACAAAATTTCTTTAGAACTGCCGATCAAGGTCCAATTAGAAACCAACGTGATCTAGATCATCGGCGTCGTAGTCGTCGTAGGCGTCGCTGTCATTGAAGCTGTAATCATCGCTGTCGGTATAGTCGTAGCCCTCGCTGGCTTGCGAGCCTTCCAAATCCTCCCATCCGCCTTTGGCATTGATCTTCTCCACCAAGTCGGTGTTTAAAATGCCCCAGCACTCATTTGCGCTTAAATACGCCAGTTTTGGACAGCCATCGGCAACGTCCTGGAGTCCAATATCTGTAACATGCAAGCAATCGTCCATCTCGAGCCATTCGAGATTAGGCATGGTCGTTGATATAATCTTCAACATCGCGTCATCCGCATCAGTTTCGTTTAAACACAAAGTTGTGATTCCAGGCAGCATACTCAGAACCGCTTCCATGCTAGACGATGGAGCAACTGTCTCGCTGATATCCAAAATCGTGAGCGAGGTGCATAGTTGTGGATTATCTGTAAACAATCGCTCAAATTGGTAACCGAGTAAACTCCGACATAAGCTCAAGTCAATATTTTTCGCTCGCGAGCAATGTTGGAACACGGGTGCAAGCAAATCATAGGTTAATCTGTCCCACCGTCTAGCGATCATCGAGAGATCCAGTACACAAAGAAGGTCGCCGTAGCGCTTGTAATCGCGTAGCTCAAAAGGAAGAGTGGCGCCAATAGAATTAGCAAACTTTTCAAACTGTTCGATAGTTTGTAAAAGAGGCCTCCCCCACAGACGCGAAATTGCAAGCTGCCACGTCTGTTTGCTTACTAGGCATAGCTGCGCCAAGTCTTGCCGCTCCGCGTGCAGTATGATTTCATCCAGTATCAAAGCGTTGCTGATGACATGTGTTGCGGGCGTGTACTTTAAGGACATTGCAAAATGGTAAATATTAAATATGAAAGTGCATGAAAATATTGAATCAAACACCCAATGAAAATACAATGTGATGCCGTCATGGCATCTAGGCTTTGTATGGGCTCAAAACTGATGGGTTCACCCAGAGTGACAAAAATATCTTATATAAGCCGACAGAGAATAAATAAATTCTACTGAATATGCTGAGTGCGAGCGTCCAGCGCTGGACACTCGCACGTACCGAGTACCAGTGGGGACTCGTTTGAGTCATCACATTACCTATTGTTGCTTTCTTAAGGTTGCGAACTATGGACACGCTTACGAAATATCATTTCTCGCTATACAATATTGACCAATAATAGGCGAATGAGAACCCCTTGCTTCAAATTCAGGAGTGCAACCGTGTTGACAAATCTTGCTAACAAAGACAGCTTCTCCTGTATCGAACCAGTGTTACACGTGGTGTTTGCATTTGCTTTGTATTATCCCAGGGATTCAGTCATTTATTCGTCATTTTCCTTTGGGCACCTGTCATTGATGCGGTATTTGCTCTCTTTAAAAGAATCCCCAACCCGATTGTGGTTAAAGTCTCTGACGTAGTATGATGGGCACTGCTCCATCCCAGTCAGCAAGGAAAAAGGAGGGACTGACACGGAATTAGGGCAAATTCGTTAGCTATAAAAAAAGCACTGTTCGCCAATGTGGGGGCACTGAGGATGGTTCTCTTTTCTACACTCACTGATTTTCTCCATAGCCATAAATACATACTTTTTGCATGTCACTTTCATTGTCAGAATCTTTAGATATTATTCTCAATAAATTCCAGGAGGTGTTTAATAAGGAGGAAAACGCATCCAGTTGTGAAGTAGAGATGCTATATAATGTGGTCGACTATAATAGGTTTATTGATTATGAAGGGTTTGTTGTCATTCTTCATAGAGTAAATAGCGGAAATAATTGTTTTTCCATGAAAAATATATGTAACCAACGGAAATTATTGGGCGATTATGTCGATGAAATCAAATTCAATAGAACAAACCTTCGCTTCGCCTTGTATGCTCATAGCTTAGCTGATGATTACAAATTGGATATCTACAAAGGCGGAAAGTGTGTGGGAACTATGACTGGTGCTCTTATAGATCAATCATCGATGCTTGAACAAGAGACCTGTACCAAGCAAGATCTAGATTCTTTAATATGTTATAAACATCAGCAGTAGAACATAGAACATTTATTTAGCATAGAGATGGAATATATACTTTTATGAGCACTTTCTCAATCCCAAGATATTATGTAGAAGTCTGTCGAACAAGTCATTTCAATTGGCACTGGGTTGGCCCTAGCTCGACAGCGGCAAAGTCCTGAAGCACGTGTTGCTACTTTCCCCCCACTCGACCTAATAATAAAGTGGTTGGGTTCTGAGAAATAAAAGCCCTCTTCTGGCTATAAAAAAGGTGCCAACCAGGTGCCACCCTGTTTTCTCTTTCTCTTTCCTACTCTCCCAATACTTCATTTTCTTTACTATTATAAAACCGATGTCTCTCCAAAAACCTACCAAGGATGATGTTATAATATGCGGATCTATAATTTCCCTAATGTGGACAATGGATGCAATTCCCATTTATACAAGCGAAGTTGATCCTGATATTATAGCATACTGTGAAGGAGTGCTTATTATCGTGTATACGTGCTGTGCCTTCTCCGACAGTACAGAAGCAAGTGGAAAGACTGACACTGAAGAGTTTTTCATTTTTTACAAGAGCGTGAGAGACATGCTAAAGGCCAATCCGCTAAAAGATGACGTTCGGATTGCTTTTATCAATAACAGCCAGGGCATAAGGGAAAACGAGATGACTGAAGTTTATCATAATAATGTTTACAAACTGACCTTGCCCAACAGTAGCCTTGTTTCAGCCCTTACTGAATATTCTTCACCTCCTAGGGCGTCTTTATAGGCTGTGTTTATTAGTACCATACACTTTTCTTTTTTAGTACACCAACACGCCCAACTTGAATCGTCGTTACTCTGACTGCTATTGACAAAAAAAACCCCCCAGCGGGGGATAGATTTTGGCGGGGTTTGTCTTGTTTTATTTTCGAGAATAAAACGCAGCAAGAAGAGTCGAGACCTAACTTAGGTCAAAACACATGGGGATTTAGCTCAAGTGGTAGAGCGCTCGCTTCGCATGTGAGAGGCACGGGGATCGATACCCCGAATCTCCACTC